TGTCAGCAACCCCAATGCCACGTACAGCCAGCTGTATTCAACGCAGGGTGCCTTTTTGGAGGGTGACTCTTCCTTCACGGCTTTGAGAGCCAGCATTCTGGCGCTGAATATCGAAACAATCGTGGATGTCGTCCTGTCAGATGATAGCCCTGATGCCGTGCTCTTCTCTACGCGACCACTAATGGAAGATGCAGAGGTGATGCAAATTCTCTTGACCAACACGGCTCTCTTTGATTTGGGCAATCCAGGTACAGCTGTGCAAATCTCAGTGTCCAACCCTGCCTTGTCTGCAACACGCGCGCATGAAACAGCCGAGCAGATGTTGTGCACCTGTGCTTGAGCAGGATTGCTTTATTTTGTGTTGCTTTCGCTTTTTCGTCCCCCTGAGCTTGCTTGCCTTCCTGCTGGCTTTCACGGCCCTGTACGCAAACTCATTTCAAAAATTGCTGATGTGACGCCCCCTGTAGGCACCAAGGACGTCGATCTAACGGCTGGTGATGCCGTTGACATTATGAGCTTTGAGTTGAATCGCACAACCGTGGCTGTCACTCTTGAAGGCTATGTATTCTTCCAGGCCCGGCCCGCCACCTTGCTTCGCAGCGGGTGGGTACCACCTGCAACCACAACAACGCGCGGGCCAGCCAAGCCACAGCCTACGAGCACATCGGACCCCACACACTCTTCCTCCAGCTCTTCCTCTGCTTCGTCATCCATCTACATTGGTGCGATTGGTGGTATCGTCGGTCTCTTGGTGTTGGTTGCAGTGGTCGTCATGGTCCGGCGCTGGCAGCGCAAGGGCACCAAGCCACAATTCGATGCCCAAAACACCGATCAGGTGAGTCGTGCCATGACCCTGATGTATAGCCTTTTGGCGAAAGTAATTCATGTGAGTATTGAGGAGGCTTTCTGCGTGTCTCACCTCATATTGTTGGGGGGCTCGTAGAACATGAGTGATTTCCGAACCGGCGTTGTCAACCCTCTCTGTAAGTCATAAAAACTGTGGAGCTTTCCATAGCGCGTGAGATTCGTCGCACTTGTGCACCACCGCAGAATGCTCATGTTCTTGTTTTGGCTGGGATACGATAGATGGCGGGGTAGGTGAGGTTCAGGAATCTACTTATGGAGACGCTGATGCTGGTGGGGATGGCGACTATCAAGACCTCCACCATGAAGTCTGGGGAAAAGGCAACGACGAAGATTTGCAGGCCGATGGGATGTACTCTGACATGTTCAATGAACCAGATAAGGCGGAAGATGATGGGCTTGATGAGAGCGGCTATTTGAATGTGGGGGGGGACATGGAGACTTCTGAGGATACAGAGCAGCCGGGATTTGGATTTGATGCCTTTGGCCAAAACGATGATTTGAT